CTCTCTAGGATGGTCAGTGAAAAAGTATTACTATAAAAGCACACACACATTTATTTTCCAAATAGCAAAATGTGAAGCTATTTTTTCTTGACACAACTTCCTGTAGGTCAGCAAACTTTGGAGACAGAAGAGCTAATCCTGTCCCTCTCAACAAGTGAAACAATTATTTGAGAGCCACAAATATATATTTACAAACAAATGAAATCGCTATTGTCTGAGTACTATCTTTTAAAATGTTTAAATTTTACTTCAGAGCCATCTGGGTGTACCAAAGAGCAGAATGTCACTCGGGGGCCAGTTTGCTAACCTCTGGTCTACACAATTCTAATGGTGGTGTTTCCTTCTCTCTCTTCCTTTCCCCTAATAATTTTGACCACTTCAGCTTACACTCTACCCAAACCTCTGTATTGGTATTCCCAAGGGACTTAAGTGCTTAAAAAAAAAGTTCTTTGATTTGGGAGCTGCAATGGGCCAGGTTTAACTCGATGGTAGTGAGTTTTGGTTTGAGTTGGGGTAACAAAAAGAAGGCTGAAGGGGTATGATCCAAACTGGAGGAAGGATGCAGTACAGTTTCCCAAAGATGCAATTCTTAGACGAGAGCGTTTGTTAGAGCCCTCTAGGAATGAGTAGGTGCATTGTCACCATGGACTGTATTTCGTGGAGCAACATCCCTGCTTTTTTCTCATAAGTACAATTTAAAATTTCCTTAAAACATCTGCATCGCAAGTCCCCATGACAGTCCTGTGTCCTCTGTAAAGATTCATCAAGATTACCACTTGTGAGTCCCTCCCCCCCAAAATCTCCAAAGCTTCATAGATTTGGGAAGATGGCCACTGAATTTTGTTTTAAATTTTTCTATTAGCCTAACATCAAAATCATTTATATTTTCTTTTTTCATGGCACAAAAAACATCCTTTTCCCCCTTACTTATATTTTTGTATTCCCAGTTTATTCTGAAAACTATCTTTTCTTTGTATATATTCAAATGAAGTTGAGATAACAGTGATCTCACAGTATACTGAAATTATCCATATTCTCCTACAAATTTATTAAACACTAATAAAATAACTTATTAATGTGTCAACATTTAAGACTTTTCTCATAACAAGACCCTCCCAACATTTTAAAGTGTTTCACCTTCAAGACTATTTATCTGTTTGATATTTGGGTTACATGTGCATATAAAAAAATTCATGTTTGTCAAACTGACCATAAGATTAAATCACATTAGTTTCCTTTTGATACAATTAAATTTTACAAGCAAAATGATTTAAATAGGAGCAAATAAACTGGCTTCCTTAAGAAATAAAATAGACAAAAATTAAGAAGTATTAAAGGTGCTAAAGATTATTTTCATAAAACTTTTACTATTCTTTCAATATAAAAGTGTGCACTAAGAGTGTGTGTAAATTAAAATATATCTCATCTAGACTGTGAGCGCCTATGGTTGGGGAATACTATTCAAAAGGCCTTGGAATAAAAAGATGAGGGTTGTATATAGGTAGGTGGCGTTCTCTTGTCCTTCATTCACACATCGATGTAACTTCCTGGAGAGGTAGTTATTTTAAAATCTCAATAGGCCAGGCTGTTGGCCTGGGCCTTAAAGTGATGTTTTGTTTCATTATTTATTACCGTCATAATTAAGCAAATCAAATGAAGGAAATCCTTGGATCAGTACATACCAGACACCAGAAAAGAAGCCTGCTACCAAACACACACACTCACAATGTTTTACCATTTTGCTTTCAATGAAGGTAAAGTAAGTTCAACTAATTTGAGAAGATTTCATGTCCCCACCCCACCCCCAAACTATCTGAATCAAAATGTTTGAACTTTGGAAGCTCTTCTACCAATCATAACTGATTTCCATCTACAATTATGATTTTTTCAGGTAGGAAGCCGTCAGTCAAGGGAAGAAGGAGCAGAGAATACGCCGCGTTCCCACACGTTGACTTATCGTCCGACTGTAGAGCTTCGCTGGGAAAGTGCTCCTCGCCATTGACCTTTAGCAGTAATGGATGCAACTTTAGTGTGCCTTCTCTAAACATTCTTGCAGCATTTAAGACACTGTGGATACTCAGTCTCAAGGCCACGGTCGTTCCTATAATAGGGACCTTCAGTAAGAAGCTGTTTTTGTGGATCCTGGCTTCCAAGTAGTTCA